GCATTGCAGTCCAACAGCATCTGGAGGATCACACATTCCCCAGTCCTGGTGTAGGTAGTAAACTAAAAATGAAGCAACAACATATACCTACCTAATGATATCCATAGATCCATAATTTCCAACTGGCTTTGCAAAAAGCTTGCCTGTTTACCTTGTTGGCCACCAAGCTGCCAATGCAGCTTAGCAGTCTTGCATAAGTCCTCTAAAATGAGACTACTAAGAAGTTCAATCTCCAGAAGTTTTGGAGTTTAACTCCCAGAAGATCCTGTCAGCACAGTCAAGAGTCAGGAATGCTGGGAGATAGCATCCAAAGTATCTGGAAATTTGCTTTCATTTCCTGCCCTCTTTCAACAGCAATATCAAGTCTTGTGCTGAAAATTATTTTATTTATTTATTTATTTATTTATTTATTTATTTATATTGCGATTTATGTCCTGCCTTTTTCCTACAAAGGGCTCAAGGCAGCTTACATCATCTCTCCCCCTCCATCTTATCCCCACAACAACAACCCTGTGAGGTAGGTTGGGCTGAGAGTCTGTGACTGGCCCAAAGTCACCCAGTTGGCTCCATAGCTGAGCAGAGACTAGAACCCAGGTCATCTGAGTCCCAGTCCCATGCTCTTAACCACTACACCCACATTCTTATTCAATTTGATCAAAAAGTATCCAATTAAAAGAAAATGTAGGGAAATTTTCATGAGTGCTGGGGCAGGGGTCTTGTTCTTTTGTTAGATATGAGGGTACAAATGGGGGGGGGTCCCATCTTCTATTGTGCAACCATCCCTCTGGCGACCTGGTCTCGTCCTGGCTGTTCTTTCTTCCTTAAAATCCGATTAGTTCCTTAGCCAGGCTTTCTTGTCAGAACAAGAGGGCAGCAAGGTGGCCTTCCCTGCATGTGACAGCTGGTGAGCTGTGAGGATTATTGAACATCATACTGGCTGCTGAGATGGCAGAAGATAAAGGGATGCCAGCACCTATAAGTAATGTGTTTAAACCTGACAAGTAAGTTCAGCTGCAGGAAAATCAGGAGGCTTCCTGACAGAGCCTAATGATTTATTTAGAAAATGAAAATAATTTCTCACTTTTCCCCCCACCCACAAGAGGGGGGGAGGTGAAAGATATTTAGGTAGATATTCACAGATTGACTTCTCCCATGGGATTTTTCTTAGGCAAGTGTAGGCAGTCAGGGAGGCTGCAAAATACTGCTGAGATATGTAACAGAAGTAAAAACACACACAGTACTGTTGATCACCTTTTGGGATTATGGTAAGAATAAAATCACTGCCTAAAAAAATTAGTAGAAAATTCCAAATACCCTGAGAATTAGGCAAGGAAAGCAAACAAAATGAAACAGAAGACTCCTTCATGAGGAAAAGGAAAGTTCAGGAAATTGGAGGACGTATTTTGGCATCAACGTAGAAAGAAAATGTTGCTAGTCACAGTATATAACCAGGGCTCTGTGTTCTGTTTTGCACATCAAAAATTGTGCAATGAACAGCACACTGCCTTGCTAGTATGGAACCCAAAAGAACACAAAGAAGTTAGCAATAGTAATAATTTACAGGTATGTAATTAAACCATAAGAAACAAGTAAAAAAGTTATGGGCAGTATCCAAAGTTGCCAATGCACCAATATCCCATTCCTAGTGCAATAGGAATCTAGCACTTTAGGGAAGCATTTGTAAATTTATTAATGCAGATCAGTGGAGCTTGCAAAAGAGAGATCCTCTGATCTGGCCTGTTCCATTAATGTACTGGGATTGATAGCTAGAAGACATTGTGATACAGTGTGAACTTTTCCCACTGTCCAGCATAGGCTGGCATGAAGTGCAGCTACATATGCTTGTTAGGTTTAATTGTTGTGAGAAACCTGTAGGCCCTCAGTGAAGGTATAAAGTCACCAGCTACTAGATTTTGTGAATTAGTCACATCACCCCTGAGATAAGGATGTTTACACATCCTTTTGCTGAAGTGGCATTCTCTCACCCTCCCTTTCTAGTCTCTCAGGAAGCCGGGAAAGCTAGTATTCCAACAGCCACTGAAACAGAGAAGAACTAGAAGTGGACAAGATGTCCAAGGAACAAGTGCTCCAGAAACAAAATTTGTCACACCAGGAAGTCCTGTGATTGAAGGGATTCCTTTTGCTGGTTGCTTTATAATCTGCACCCGTATTTCAACTCTACATGTCTTTCATAACCTGTATTTCCAGTTTGATAAAGGTAGCTTCATTTCTTCCTAAGTATCCTTGACTCCAAAGTAAGGTACCTTGACTAATCAGTCGTCTGGGGCTGAAACAATGAAATTTTGCTCATTTTCGGGATTTCTTTAGGCTGCATTAACTTCCCGGTGCATTAGGGGTGGATCTTATGGACATAACAAAACCAGCAGAAGCACAGCAATTTGGCTGCTGCCCTATACACATGAGTCCTGTGTGAATATTTAAGACAATAGTTCTCAATTTTTTTAAAGACCAGATGCATGTGGGACAGATTGGTTAATTTGAAGACAATGGCCTCTCTTCCTAGTTATATCTGGCTTTTTCTACTGACCTGGGATTTAGTTGATTGCAAATGGATGATGAGATTAAAGAGAGCTAATAACTATATATATAATTAGATCAATATGTTTTCCACATGCTGTGCAAGCCTATCCAAAGTATCTCAGTACTTGGGTTTAAAATGGACTAGAAGATTCATCACTGTGGGAGTGGTAAAAACATGAGGATATCTGCTTAAATTAGTTATCTGCTTAAATTAGACAAATCCCAGTTTGAGCTAGTGAGTTCTGTAGATCTCTGAGATTTGCAGCTCCACACTGTATGGCTGACAAGCACTGGATGTTTGGTTGAAAAAGATGCACTCCACCTTCTGGGCTTGCAAACATTCCTTACGATGACTTACAGAATTCCTTGGAATTTTTAAGTACTTTGAAGAAATGCTTGTAATATCCTGGTGATCCTTGTGGTAAAAGGGGAATGTTTGCACATCCTTCAAGAAGAAAATGTTTTGAAAATGCAGAACAAAATGCAACCTCTTTTGTGTGACTTGACAGAAATTAATGGGAATGGAAAAGGTATGAATTATTGGAGTTTGGAAAGGAGAAACATTTTTATTTCTTTGTGCCTACATTTGCAAGGTTTGATCCTTTAGGCAGAATACTGGGCATTAAACTTGGGCCCCTGTGGTGGTGATTCCTATCCAGGCACTCCCAGATTTTAAACACCCTCCTATTCAGAGACATTTCTACAAGCAGTGAGAGAATTTTGCCACAGGTATATAAAGATGGTTGAAATGGTCAGCTTGAATACATGCATGCATCTGTGCCCATGGCATTTTTCTACATAAAACTTAGTGCACTAGCCTAATGTAAATCTTGTGGGATTTTTATTCTTATCGGCATGAATTTGATGAAACTCTACCAATGCCAGCAGATTCTCAGTGACCACATTCTCAGTGAATGATGAAGGATGCTTTTTGTTAAAAAGATGGTACAACTTCTTTATAGATAAGGTATATAGGCCAGGCTCCAAAAGAGGAAGCCAAGCTCTGCTGCAAGCATAAGACTGGGTAGGCGAAGCAAACTGTGTCACACCCCTTCCTTTTGTGCTTTATCCCCCCCACCCCCTGCAGCCTTCATGTCTCATTAGATCACAGGCTTTCTGGCAGCGCACCTTGCTTTTTGAGACACTTTATAAATTGCAATTATTATTTTTGTATTAGCACCTTTGCCTCGAACAGCTAGAAAGCTCTGACATCCTTAAAGGAATATAAAATCATTTTAGAGCTATAAGGTATTCTTTAATACAGCCAAATTTCAAAGCCCTTGCTTTATTACAATATGTAGTGAGGATCAATTTTACAATGTTCAAAGGAAAGCTTTCTGCTTGCTGCCAGAGCAGTTGTGCTTCTTGAATGTTCAAGCTGAACTCTCAGAAAATTTTGTGAGGTCATTCCAGTCCTCTACCAGCAGCCAGCCTACCCCTTCCCATAAGGCCCAAAAAGCCCATGGAGAGCATCAGTAAAAATACAGCATGCCTTGCTTTAAATATGTAGTTAGAAATGCAGGTGATCCAGGAGAAGACCCTAACTTAGGGGATAGTGGGGCCTTAACCCTGGCCCCCATCATAGTCTCAGGGTGGGCAGGGGCCCAATTAAAATTCTCAAGCTTGTTTTATATTTTCCTCTTGCAAGGAATCTAAGGCAGTTTGCATAATTTTCCTTCTCTGTATGTTATCCTCATAACAACAGTGTGAAAGTCAATGATCAGTCAGTGTGAAAGTCAGTCAGTCAAAGCCATCCAGTAAGTTTCATGGCTAAGTGGGGCTAGAACCCAGTTCTCCTAAGTTCCAGTCAAACAGCTTAACCACTATACCAACTGGCTCTCAAGTTATGCCATGAATGTCTCCAGTCTCTCTAAGCTGAAGGTCCCTTGCAATCATTTCAGTCATGCTGAGGAAATGCATGTAGATATCCGACTGGCCCTTAAAAAGAGGTAAAGGAGGCAAATATGTCTAACAAATACATTCCCCAGTTTTGATCAGTCAGGTGTGCAGGAAATTTCCAAGTGTGCTTACTCATAAGCATGAGTAAGTCTTTTCCGTGATGTTAATATAACTGTGTAAGGGGCTTTTCGATTTTATTAGTCCTGTTGATAGATGGTAAAGTCAGCAAATCAGATAAAAGATAAGATCAATTTGGTGTACAATTTCACATTTGACATGAATTTTATTGATTCCACTTTTAAGAAGGAATCAATAAGGCCTTCAGCTCTTCATGAATCAAACACTTTTTAGTCCCTTTTGTGAACCTGTTCATTTTGTTTCTTTTAAAGTGATGTATGCCTCATTAATAAAGAGCATGTCAAAGGAAGGGTGCAAAGAGGAGAGGAATGCTGAATCAAA